TTCGGTCACATGGAACCCTCGGTTACACGAGGAGCCCCCGGCTACACAAGGAGCTCTCGGCTACGCCAGGAGCCTTCGGCTACACCGGGAGCCTTCGGCTGAACTAGCTCAATCATCAAAGATTCCTTTTAGAGACAGCCAACCACCGCATTTAATACCACGTCACATCCGCCAACCGCATTCAATGCGGTTGACGTACCACTACCGGTGCCACTAGGCTGATGTGACCCTTCGGCCGTTGGATTACTGACACGTGTCCTCTCATCGCATTTATTGCTGCTATAAATAGCCGCCCTTACTCTCCTTGTAAACCACGCTGAGTTCATTTAATAAAATCGACTCTCTCTCCTCCTATTTGCTCTGACTTCTCTCTAGTTATTTTCGCAATAACCCCTCGGATAAGATACCCCCCGGGTAGACTGTCCATCATAGTATATGTAGATAATAATATATAAGTAGATAATTAATATATAAGTAGATATAATAATTGTATAAGTATTAAATAGTAAAATAAAATATAAAGGAGAATAAGAGAATTTGAGAAGATGAATATGGAGAATTGGAGATGAGTAGAGAGTAGGATTTAGGTAGAGTTGGAGAAGAGGTGTGAAAAAATGTTTTAAATTAGGAGTATTTATAGGTTTTTTTTTAACCCCCACCTCCCACCCCCACCCCCACCCCACCCCCACCCCACCCCCACCCAAAGCCCCCTGACCCCCCTGGTACCACCCAACGGCTATATAGCCGTTTGGGGTGGCCGTTGAGCCAAAAGAAGCAAATTTTTTTTTTTTTAAATTTTGGACCGTTAGGCCCGGGCCCGACCCGGCCGGGCCGGGCCTCCAAAACCAGGACCCGAGCTCGGTCCCGCTAACCCGACCGGGTCTGTGCCCGAACCGGACCCGGACCCGAGAACCGGGCCTGTTCCGGGCCCACACAGTGGCGGGCCGGGCCGGTCCCGGGCCGGGCGGCCCGAACCGGGTCCACGCCTAGTTTCGTTAACGTTCCTAAATTGTTTTTATTGAATTAGTACATATACATTTAATCTTTTTCTTCTACTCCGGTATATCCTAAAGTCAGATTTTATGTTAAAAGGAGTTACAGTGAAATCAAAAAATGTAAATTTAGCTATAAATTGTGCAAAGCAATCAGGGGCGGAGCCAGGGCACTGGGCCGGACTAGGCCGGTACAAAGAATATTTTTTGAAAAAATTTACACAAAATGTTTTACCCTAAAAATTAAGCTATTTTTAAACTTGGGGTGGACCATGGCATAGGTTGGCCCATCCCTAGCTCCGCCCATGAAAGCAACTAACATGAAGAAGTGAGGAATAACAGTGCACACAGTGTTCGGGTTGAAACCTTTTGTTCTTTTGCACAAGTACATAAATTCTGTATTAAGTTTCCCCGACCATCAACACACTAATAGCAATACTGGAATAGTTGAATTTTCAAAAGCAGTGATGAATCTAATATCGGAGTTACCAAGTTTCTATTTAAGTTAATTTACCAGAACGAAACTTTAGGATAACATTTCGGCTTTACCATTTGTTGTTGACTATGGAGGAGTGTTGCAATGTTGCATGTTGGATGGTTGACCTACAAAAAATCCTAATTATTCTGGATGAGCAACAAACGACTAGTCGTGTGCTGGGGAAGGTGCGCTCTCTGTCCTCTGCTGGTTTCTTCTGTTGAGCCATGAATACCAGCGGCGACCTTGAATTCAGAACTGGCCTGGTGATCTTCATCGTGCAACAGGGGAGGGTAGGTGTTCTTCCATCCAACACCGGCGAAACGAATTAACAGTGGTTCATGGCGAACCTTGGATGAGCAACGAGAGGCAAGTTGCAGCGACGGAGTGCAGAGAACTTCTTCTAACTCCACCATCCATTTTTCTGGAATACAAAAAGATCTCTATGTTATTTTAATCCATTTAATCCTTGGCTATCATTCTCCTGTGAACTTACCTTTGTATTGGTGCATCCTTCATTCGTGTAGCGTACTTATTATTAACGATGCAACTCAAAATATAAACTAATCCACTACTTTACTTATCATGAAAATGAATTCAACCCTAGAAGGGTGAGCAACCGATTACGTGAGGAACGACGAAGGCTCTTGATCGTCTAAGCTTCAGCACTTAAGCTCTAGAGGAGTTAAGAGATAGAGTTGCAATTGAAAAAGCGGTATGTGTACTTGTATGAGTGATGTTTATTCCCTAGAGTTTCTAAGGTTCTTCCATCAATTTTGACAACGGTATTGTGGGTGAGTCTCTTCTCAAAGTAATGATGCAAGTGCCTACAAAAGGTTATGCTATTGTTTAATTGTCGTTGATGCCATTCATCGAGTTTTAGTTATGTTTTTTTCTCAAATACTAGCATGCTTCTTAACCCATTTATCCGCCCTCTTCTAGAACCATCGCCACGGAGTAAAGAGTAGTACAAGATTTTTATCAAACTATTCAGTACAAAGCTGGAATAAATATGGAGCCTGTTTGGCAACACTGTTTTTCGGCTTATCAGTCTTATCCGCCAACTTTTTCATCAAACACGTAACTTTTGCTTTCGCGCGCTAAATTGTATAGTAAGCAGAAAAAGTAAGGTTGAAGTTACTTTTCCGGCTGTACTGGCTGAAGTTACTGTAGATGACCATTTTAGCTATTTTTACATACTACGTATAATTTTTTCTTTATTTTATTAATAAAATATATTTTAAAAATAATTTTTTCTTAAATCAGCAGAAACAGCCAATGCAGCCACTTCAGCCAGAACTTCATAAATTTCAGCAGAATCAACCAAACAGCCTCATAATTGGCCAAGACCGCTCTGAATATACAATGGAATTAGGCTAAGATGCGACATAAGTGCAAACTGGTGGCTTGTTGCTTTATTATTTCCTTATGTTGAATAAGAAAACATTCAATCAAGTATACCAATTTAATTGTTAAAAACACTCAATAACCTTTTAAGGCTAGTTATCAACAGGATTGTCATTGCTTTGTGATGTCATTCTCACTTCAACACCATGCTTATGCTACCTCACTGCCACATCATCTAATGTTTTCTATTTTACCTTTTCTACTTTACATTTTAAATGTTTCCACCGACACCGACCATTAATCAACTGTCGGCCGTCGTAACCATCAACAATTTATTTATTATATAAGTATCTAGAAAAATAGATGTAACGGAGACATAAGGAACTACGCTGATAATCATTTATTTTGTTATAGAAGACTATCTTGAAAAACGTTTCTGCCTCTTTCCACCTTTGTTCTTGGCCGGGGACCGGTGCACCTACAGTCGCAATAAATGCCTATATTTTTAGAAAACAATCTTCAACTGGAAGGTTGATGTGTGGCTCACTGGGTTACAACCCTCCCCCAAATCTCTACTCAGTAAGACGTCTTGAGTTCAATTCACACTTAGAGGAGATAAGGGAGATCTTGTTCTCCATAATTCTTCCTACCTTCACGGAGTAACTCAGTGGTTGAAGAAGGAACGAATGATATGGAGGTAGCGTGTTCTTGTGGTGGACTGTAGGAGGAACAACTTGGAAGAGACAAGTGGGGTAAGTCCTACTAGATCCATCCTTTGGAGGCAGTGCCGAAAAAGGCGACTGTAGTGAGATCTGGATTTGCCTGTACATGGGCTTGAAGGGTAGTTCATATACTTCAGGATTATGGGAGCATAAGCCACAACACCTAAACTATAAAAAACTCCATCTGATACATCTCTCAAACTTTGCCAAGATTGACGACACAGGAAATAATAATAATGTAAAATATGTGGTTGAGTTTTATGTAGAAGAGAGGAAAAGGAATGATATCACAATTGAGTGATTCAAAGAAAAAGTGGCAAAGTGTCTTGGACAACCAAAAAAGAAAAGATAACAATGTTTTAAGAGACGAAAGGAGTAGAAAACAATCTTCCACAAATAAAATGACATTTGCTATCGCGTTCATCACTGCCTTTGGGAACTAGCAAGTGTCATTCTTGGCCATTTTTAATGGAACCCCATCTGGAAAACATAAACATGCATGTGTCAAACATAGCATATTGTGTTAAGTATAAAATAATCATTTTCTTATAATTTAATGCTATGGTCACTCATTAACTTCTAAAATAGAAGTATTATACTCAATGATTTATTTTTCATTGGAGACTTGGTAATAAAATTTATTCAATCATACTTCTTATATATATGTATACTGCCTCATTTCCAAAATTTCTTCCCATTTTATTGCCCAAACTTATACTCCCTCGTCCTGTTGGGATGTTCCCAGTTTGACCTACACACATGTTAAGAAAATAAACTTATCAGGGGGTAAATTTTACTATTTTGACACTGTTTCGATACTATTTGGCACTGTTTGACATTGTTTTGCACTGTTTGGCACTGTTTTGATGTAGGATAACTTTTCATTTAAGGAAAGAGAAACTTCTTTTTGGGACTTCTAAAAGAGGAAAGCGGGAACATCCCAACGGGACGGAGGGAGTAAAGTTATTGGGCCACAGGGATGCGAGCCAACACTTTGTCAACCTGCCAATGTAGTCGAGACGTGGTGCTTGATTGGTATGCAGGAATAAGGACATAAAGTTGCACCTTCGCTACCGGCTATAACTTTTGGTGTAGTGATAAGCGTTTGATCTCGATGATTGGTATCAGAGAGGGTAACGGGTTTGACCCTCGACGTCAGCATGTATTGCACAGTTATAGGCTAACAAGTGCTAGATGGGAGGTTATTGGACCGCGGGGATGTGAGTGATCGACAACCTGTGTGTCTACCGGTGCAATCAAATGCGGTGTTTCACTACTATGTGAATATATGAAAATAAAATTGCAACTTCGCTATCAAATATAACTTTTGGCATATTGATAAGCGCTTGATAATGACAATTGATAGTGAATATATAACTTTATTTTCTTATACTTAAATGGCGGTCAAGGATCACATTCTGATTGCACCGACAAATTGACAGATTTCTGTCTCGTATCTTCGTAGCCCAACAAATGTTGAAAATAATGACTATGATTGATTATATACGTAGTATATATAGGCCAGGCTCTACATTTTTTGAATGTGCATCAACGGTGTAAGCCTTTAATGTTTAGTGCACTTGAATAAAATTAAGAAAATACTAGTATATGTGACACAAATGATTAGTAGTTCAATTTTTTCAAATATGCCTAAACCTTTCCTCTCCATCTCATTGAAACCAACTGCTTCCCAGCTCCGGATAGCGAAAAGCTCTCAGCTTCTTCTACCCTTCATCTTCCTCTCCATCATAGCCATGAACAGTAGCAGTGCTTTAACAGCACCACCGTCTCCGACCGTCGATGTTGTGGGAACAAACCCGTTGGTCGCATTTTTGGAGAAGGTGCAAGAAGCTGCTCTTCGGGCATTCGGATCCGACAGGTTTGACCCGAAGACATACGTGGATATGTCGTTGAAGCAAAACCTCTCGGTGACCCAAACGGCGTTTGACAAGCTTCGAAATGATGGGAACGGGTCCATTCCCAAAGCAGAGCTGGAGAAGTTTATTTCGGATCATTTGGTGGGTCCGGGTCGTGATTTGGTAATCGCCCACCCGGTGGACTTTGTGGATAAACCGGAGGGATTCTTGCCGAAAGTACACAACCCGGAGGTGCGAAATTGGGCGATGGAGATCCATAAAATATGGAGGAATTTGAGCAGGAAAGTGGCGGATGAAGTCAAGGAGAGGCCCGATTTGCACACGCTGCTGCCGTTGAAGAACCCGGTTATCATTCCCGGGTCACGGTTTAAAGAGGTTTATTATTGGGATTCTTACTGGGTGATCAGGTTTGTTCACTTCCTGTAGAATTTCATTTCGACTAAATTATACGTAGTGCTTTCCTTTGTTATATTTATGATCAAACTTTTTAGTATTGTATTAGAGTTTACCTAATTAATTTTAGATTTAATCCCATAATTTATACACATGTACCGATGTACGTAGTTCAATATTTCAAATCATGTAGAGATCATTATCTTATAATTGAATTTTTTTCCCTAAAATATTACTAACAAAAATTTATGGGCGATACATGATTATAAGTTACTATGTATAAGTTTTATAGTCATTGCAACGTAACATTGAATACAATTATAATTACTTAAATTATAATAATCATATTTTGTTCATTATTTTTATTTTGATTATATATTTCGAATTATTTGTAATAATAGCGGACGGTAAAGTAATAAGCCGATCCACAAATGTATGAAATACGTTATTAAATCATCCAATTTACTGACTAATTACATGGGTTCACGACCGTGCGGGCATGCCATACTTTGAAATGTATTGAGACAAACGATTGTTGTATTATTAAATTGTTTCTTTGAAACTATTAACTCAATGAAAAATATACGAAGTACTTCATATTATTTATTTTATACTCATTACTTCCCCACAATCACATTATTAAACACTACTTCGTACATTGAAAACAATGCTATGACTTTTAAATAGTACCAAGTAGCGGTTATTTTAATTCTAAAACGAATGATTATTCACATGGTTTAAAATTTAAAAAACTAGATTGTGTAGAAATGAATACATCAACTAATAATAAAATACTCCTTACTACGTATATACTATCGTACTTCGTAATACGAAGTACCTTTTAGGCATTTTAACTTTGTTGTATATTGAAAATAAGATAGAAATTCAATCGATGTTGTAACATACGGAGTATTTCTTAAAGTTTTGGTGAACTTGTATACTATCTATAATGTAAAGCCTTACCACTTTCTTGTTTTATAGAGTCATGTAAATTCGTAGTTCCGAATTTGAAAATTGTTCAAAAGGGATTACTACTTTTTACTAACTAAAATTCACATTACTTTCTTAATCATTTCTTCGTTTTTCCCCATTTCTTCGTTAAAACAATGTGAGCTTAGCAAACTAATCGTAGGAATTAATCAATAAATATAAAAAGCGTAAGCTTCGGTATGTTTTCTATTTTGTGTGTTTATTTTACAGGAAACTAAAACTAAAAGAAGGATTATTACAAATTATTTACGTTGAAACAGTCAAAGCCAGTTTTTTTTGTAATAAATGACAATTAGGAAATATTCACTTGGATTAGTAACTTCATACTTCATATTATATGAAACATTTAGATACATATAACTAAAATAAGTATTATTTGCAAAAAAACTTACCTCGAAATGTAGTAACTTTACTACTTTAGTCAAATAATTTGTACTAAATGTAGCGACTATCAAACTAGACTTCAACATTCTTTAATTTTGAATTTCGATCTCATATTGTGTGATAATGGGATGTTCCAAAAATATTAAGGATGTTTTTACTTGAACCGATATTCACTGGTCTAGTTTGGTCTGTTTAAGTCTTGTCTGATTTGGTTTAAACTGGTCTGATCTAATAAATATTTGATTTGTATGTATTTTATAACTATAAAAGTCTGATCTGATTTGATCTTTTCAAGTCAGGCGTGTCTGATCGGTTTAAGTCTGATCCTAATACTTCTCTCAAATGAGTTGCACTGACATGTTACTTTCTCACATCATCCATTCATCAATTATTTCATTTTCTAAGATTTTGTGGGCTACAAAATCTTCGGAGTAATTTTTATTATTATTCAGATTTACAATTACTCGTATTTGTTATCAAACCCTATTTTTTAATCTTCTTTTACTCTGATATCATGTGTCAATTCATTCAAGCCGACTCCAATTTTTTTAGACCAAGTCATTAAGGTTTGAATGTTATTGTTTTGCTGTTTTACAATTATAAAATAGTTTATACTCTTTGTATTTTTTTTAGAATATAATCTTTATTTTCTTAAACCTCAAAAATACAAATTACTACGCATCTCGTAATAAATATGGAGTACATAATACTCCAGTTCATATTCGATCCAAATAACCCGGATTAGACCGTCTTTTCAATTTTACTCGCACGCCTTTTAATTTTGTCAAACATACTTTGATTAAAGCAAAAACATTGCGACTTTTCATGTTAAAGCCACCATAACACGAAATTGATTACGTTTAAACACGACAGATACTTTAATGCATCACCTACACCGCTACACGGCCACACCCAATAGGAAAAAAAAGGTTGATTCTTCTTTGATAACATTTCTACACTTAACAAGCTTTTATGATTAAAAGCGATTCACCAAACATACTCCTTATTTAGTTGGTCAATCAGGCTAAATGGCGAAACTTATCAAACTAGCTAAAAAATGACCTATAACTCATCTACTAAACATGACCAAGTAGCTCTACTTTTGATGTTGAACAAAATTAGAGGTTATTTTCTATGAAGATGGGTGTTGAAATTTAAAAGTAATAATGAATCAGAAGAGTAACATAAAATATCGTAATGACTGTTAAAAAATTAATAAGAATAGAGTCGTTATAACATATACGATACTATACGAGTAATATTGTATACGAAGCATTTGACTGTTATATCATCTCTAACACACCAATTGTCTATAGGTGCGGTTTATGCAAGTATGCAATTCATATTGGGAAAGAACCAAAATTAAAAAAAGGAATATGTGAGCTTTGGAGTTTGGATCAAAGAGTTGAATAACATATATAAGTAAAAGAAAGCATGAAGAAATATGATCTAATTCTTTTTTAGATCAGATTAATGACATATGTCTAGATTTTTAGTCTCTAAATAATACGGAGTAGGTAGTAGATAACTAAATAAAATATGTCCCTAAACATACATAATTCAAATTGAGCAGGTTTTAACCAATTAATGTCAATCCATTTTCTATTAGACTAATTAATGCTAGTTTAATTTCCAATATAATTAACCCGAACCGGAAATGGAATAGCTTATAGCTAATTTTTCCATTTGGAATGGTAAATAGAGGATACAATAATATCATTTATGATGTACAAAGTATTTCATACAAAAACTTTAGTCTGCAAACTCAACATTCAAACATATGCATGTTGTATGCAATTTACTATTTAGTTTTTGTTTTTACTATTAATATTGTTCTTTTCAATCAATTGTGCAACTGTTTTTACGTCAATAGTAAAATCTACGGAGTAGTTTTTTAGTTGTGCGTAATAATTTCATTAAGAAAAAGCTGTCACTAAAAATAATATTTTATTATTTTCTAAATCTTTATTTAAATAATATTATGGTATTATGCACTTCATCTTTTTTAATTGGAAATCATCAATGTTGATATTATTATAATAAGGATTTTTACTAATAATTAATTATCATACTCAAAGAGGCGAATATTACTATAATCTTTTTCTTCACATCATAACTGTTAACACTACGATTTATTATAATAGTCAGGGATGAATTTAAGGGGGGCACGGGGGCAACCGCCCGCCTTGGACTTTCAAAATTTTCTACTATATATGTAATATTTTACTAAAATTTTCATAATTTAATTAGATTCGACCCCCTTACTTGTAATTTTCAAAATTAATATATAGTCTTACCTAATGTAATACTTAATTGGAGATTTAAAAGAAAGAACATCACCTTTAAAAAAAAAGAAGGAACATCAAAATAATTTACATAACTTAAACAAATAAACTATAGAGCAACTCATTGTTTAAGACTTACGATACTTATTATATAAAAATTCCTAGCTTTGTAATGTTTAATTATCTTTATCAGATAACAAGTACTCGATTTTATAAAATATATATCAAACGATATTAAATATCAGGCACACTAATTACAGAGTTTTTAGATCACATGAAATGAATCCAAAATATAAATGTTTATTGACATTAAATTACATAATTCATTTATTTCTTGCTTTCTAAAAATAATTATTGCATATATAATAAACTTTAAAATATTTTAGCACTAATACAAATATAATATGCACCATATATACATATATATATGAATTAGAAATATAATATTATTCTAAAAATAATATATAATTCATATATATATGAATTAAAAGTTTTCATGAGTCATGACTCAAGAACACCCGCCAATTGGTAGATAAAAATTATGATACAAAAACCGAATCATGATATTAAACAATGTAGAAGTTATTTAAAATGTATTGGTTGATGTCTTGTAATTGTCTAAACTTAGAATGTAATAGATTTAAATGTCATTGATTATGTATCAATGTAATTTTTGAATGAAAATTGCTGCATAGCCCCACATTAGCTAAAAAATCCCCCCCCCCACTACACTAGGGGGGAAATTCCGCTTTGCTACACTAGTAAAAAAAATTTGTCCCCTACACTAACGAAAAATTTTGCCCCCTTGACTCGAAATTCTGGATCCGTCCCTGATAATAGCTTTCACTTGTGAAGGAACAATACAAATTGATAACTAATGAGTGACGTCAGCTCTGGCTTATCATATAGATCGATCCACATACCTCTGACCATATTAAACCTAGCTGAAAATTCAATTTTCCTAACAAACCTAGCCACTAAAGCCACATACATTTTATAACCAAAAACATAAACACAGAATAAAATGTGCTCTATTCCCGACACGGTAATTGAAAACTCTGCATAACTAAAATAAAACAAGAAAATGGTCGAAGTACAATTAAAACATGAAATAATGACATCAATAGAACTGCACGGGTTTCCATAGACAAAAATAGGATGAAGTTTCTATTTTACAAAAAAGAGACCAAGTTCATTTAAAAAGCCCAATTTCTCCCTACGGCTTCAATTACTATCTTTCTCTCACGCACATCTACAGGGGTTTAATGCGCCAAACCCCCCTGTGATTTGGAAATTCGGCGCATTAACCCCTGTGATTTAAAAAATGCGTCAAACCCCCCTGTGTTTTAATTAATCATGCGCCAAATCCCTTATACGAACAAATTCAATTGTCAAATAAAAGAAAAATGATTAACATTTTTGTATGATTCAGAGATTTTGACATATTTATTTGCATATTCAATCAAAATATTAGGAAAAGTGATTTTCAAATCGTTAAATTTATTCATAAAAGGGGTTCTGTGCATAATTAATTAAAACACAAGGGGATTTGACGCATTTTTTATATCACAGGGGGCTAATGCGCCGAATTTCCAAATCATAGAGGGGTTTGGTGCATTAAACCCCATCTACAGTGTTGTCCTCTGCGTTATCTCCCGATGTGGCTCCATCACCGTCACCGGCGCCGACTTCATTCCCATCTCCATTATCGCTTCCGTCGTAGTCTACTTCACCGCCGTTCCACCACCAACGATTTTCTTCACCTAGTATTTCTTTCCAATGGCGAATAGGTTCATATTCTCATCGACCTTATTCAGATCTCGATCGAGGCGAATCTGAAAGAAGGTTACGAAATTAGGGGTATGGTCTGAGCAGCGTTCGACCGGAGGTGGAGACGACGGCTAGGATTTTTGGGTAGGGTGGGCGGTGGGGTATGGTCTCAGAGGCTGAACTGATGGGGATGGAGAGGGGCTCCGGAGGTTGGCCGCTGGGGTGGGGCTTGGCTTGTGGAGTCTGGGGAGCTGGCAGCTGGGGTGGTGGGGCTGGCCGCTGGTGGGGTTGCTGCTAGCAGGGTGTTGCAGATTGCCGATCACGGCAGTCGGCAGGGACTGGAGGGTGGGGCTGGAGTGAGGGCTGGGGGTGATGCAGGGGGCTGGGGCTTGGTGTTGGCGGCGATGGTCTCGAGCGGCGGCCGGAGGTGGTAGTCGTCAGCGGTGGTCGGAGGTGTGGTATTGGGTAATTTACTAATTTTAAACGTGAACCCGGTAACTTAACAGTGTAACTATAACTGGTCAATTTGGTAACATAATTGTCGAGTCGGATAACAATAATTGATTGCTCGGGTAACTATAACTCGCGAATCAGATAATTGTAACTGGAGAATCATGTAATCGTTATTAATTGGGTCGGGTAACTGTAACTGATCGAGTTGGGTAATTGTAACTGGATCAGTTCGAGTATGTTCGGATAACTGTAACAGATCGGGTTGGGTAACTGTAACTGGGTCGGTTCGAGTAACTGTAACTGGTAGGTTTGGGTAATTGTAATTGATCGGGTAACTGATGGGTTGGTTAATGTAACTGGTTGGGTCGGGTAACTGTAACTGGTCGGGTCGGGTAACTGTAACTGGTCAGATCAGATAACTGTAACTGTTTAAGCGGATAACTGTAACTGTGTGGGTGAGGTAATTATAAATTCTAACCGGATATTTCTGGGTATTTCTAAAAGTTTTTTTGGAAGATAATTGTAAATTTTAAATAAGCAGTAGCTCTTTTAAAGTGGCGTTGCCGTATGGTCCCTTTTCTGGAAATGCGTAAATGAGGTCCTATGTTTGTCAAATTGCTTTTAATTAGTAATATCTTTGACCTAACCTCTTAAAACATCCGTAACATATCATCTTTTATCATTTAATCTTTTATGTTAGAAGGAAAAACACCCTAAAATGATCAGTGATCACGGAGCTGAGCTTAGTTTAGGTGAAAATGGATAAATGGACAAAATCTGCCTAAAGAATGACTAAGATGAGTAAATTGAATCATTTAGACTGTAGATGTAATTATATATGTACTCCCTAGCTAATAGGATTAAAACATAAACAATGAATACAAATTATACTGTCAGTGTTTTCTTCTTTCTTCTTAAAAAAGTATATTCACTTCTAATTGTTGAACTTTTATAATAGATGTGTTTGGAATTGGTTATGCTTCTGCTTCTGTTTTAAAAGTAGAATCAGAATCAGTTTTTCATACGCTGGTCTCCCGACCTCGGACTTCTAAAAAGCTGCCTCTATGAATGACTTGGAACACCCAAAAGTACTTCTGCTCTTTCACTCAAACATTCCAATATCTGTTTCCGCTTTCTAAAATTGTAGAGAAGAATTAAGAAGTAGATCCAAACACCCCTTATCTGTTGAGTTCCCTTATTCGGGGATAAAATATAACTACTTTTATTTGTACAATTTATCAGAGTATATTTTAGTCCTATATGTATTTGGAACAATTTTTTATGTGATTCTGATTGATTGATTGAGTTTGTTTGTAATACAGGGGCTTGTTAGTTAGCAAAATGTATGAAACTGCAACGGGAATTGTTTATAATCTCCTGTCTCTCCTTGATCAATTTGGTTTTGTTCTTAATGGTGCACGGGCATACTATACGAATAGGAGGCAAGTAATTATCCCTTTGTAGTTTATTACCGCTTACTGTACCGTATTGTATTTAGATAATAATATATCGATCACTAGGGGTCATCCGGTCAGGGAAGTATTTACCATAAGTTGTGGTGGATTGAAATATTGGATAGCTTAATTCTATTTATATAAGTAATATTTTTCATATTTAGTGGATTCCGTTAGGGTCTGTTTGGGAGTTGATGAATGATGACCCTCTATTTGTGTTTGGGAGTTTAAAAAAATGTGGATGAATGACTTTGAAAGGTTTTTATGGCCCTTAAATCCCTCAAATGCTCAATTTTTAAACTATCACAAAAGGGGTTGTTTTATAGATAACTACCTATATTTTAATTTAAGCTCAATTAAAAATGAATATTAGTTCAAGTATTTGAAGTCGTCATATCTCATAAGTGATTTTAATTATAATTTCTTCTAAAACTCTCTTTTTCTAAATTCCCAAATGAGAAGAAAGATTCCATCACACTACCTTCCATTTACCCTCCAACAACTTATTTGCAAAGTCTTTCCAACTAGACATACCATTAATGTTTAAATCAATATTATTACTATTCAATCCAGTCCAATCCGGATTCCGTCTTCACTAGGGTAAGCAACATTAGATTAACTGTACTTGAGTTCACAAATTTTTAATTAATCGAGATTTAAATTATTACATTTTCAATAACATATGTGATCACTTATTGTTGTCACATTCATCTTTTATGATATGATCTAACAACATTTTAACTAAGTGACTTGTACAGTCAGCCTCCTCTTTTGAGTTCAATGGTTGTTGATATATACAACCACACCGGTGACATTTCCCTGGTAAAGAAATCTCTTCCTCTGCTGCTTAGGGAGCATAAGTTTTGGAACTCAGGTACTGTTCAGATCTATGTGTACTAAATTACTAACACTCAAAATTTTTTAAGGTAAAAATATTCAACTTCATTATTCAAAGTCAAAGCGTTGGCAAGAAATATGCTAGAGAATTGATAGCAACTAGTATCTCACTCATGCCTTGCACGGCTAGTAAGAATGTTTTTACTTGGAGTGTAATCTGTCCCAAACCATACTAGAATCAAACTTAAACAGACCAGACCAGATCGAACCTGACATAAACAGACCAGACCAGATCGAACCAGACTTAAACAGACCAGACCAAACTTAAACAAATTAGACCAGACCAGACTTGACTTTCTTAGTTATAAAATACACAAAGACCAGCCGTTTACCAGACCAGACCAGTTCAGACCAGACCAAACTTAAATAGACCAGACCAGACCAGCAAATTATAGTCCAAGTAAAAACATCCTAAATGTGACATGTTTGTTACATGTAAGCTCATGTTCTATTTATAGCATTTACAAGAATATGATTACTACTTAATCATGAATTGGGCCCGGCCCAATAGTCAGTCAATAGTAACATAAATGGACCATCTAGCCCGGTAAGCAATAAAGCATCTCGGGCCGGATCTTCGCTAGCCAACTTACATCTCGGACCTAGTGAGGCCTACTCTGGGATCAAAGGGGTAGTCAGTATCTAGTTTGGCCCACTACTAGCTCAACCTAAAGAAATATGTCTATAATTGGATCCAAGATTCCAAGGTACATAGTTGATGACTAAATTGGGTCATAATTAGATCTAAATTTGGTCCAGATTTCATAGCCATCGACCAAATTGATGATATTAGAAAGTAGTGTATTAAGAAAAAAGAGTTTGGGTTGATTTATAAAGATTTGATATTAAATCTTATATGACACATCAAATTGAATGAAATTTATGTCCTCCGTACCCTTTAACTTTAACCAGATTGAAGGGTCATTTGAAGTTGATTGAACCTCATCTCATTTTAGGACTTTAGTTAATTTTTACAAATGTTTCTTAAATTATTATTAAAATAAATTTATGTACAAAAACATGACTAATAAACTTACTATAAGCACAACTTCATGAACTATAATGTAAAATTGAACAAAATGACAGTCACTATTGCTTTGTATAAGCACTTTGTATTTTGTCTAAAAGAACACATTGTATCTATCATTTTTCTTTTGCTCATATATTTAATTTGTCACTATTTCTAAATTTTAATAGTCGACCCGTTAAAATTACATTATAAATTATTAACTTGATAGGGAGATTAGAGCAATATTTGTATTTGAAACGGGCTAGTCTTATGGATTTTGGTTCGTTTTGGTAGCTCTATTCATAATCATTAAAGGGGTTTTATAAGAATATTACTAAAAATAAATCTTATTTACATAAATATGACTACTCATTACTACAATGTAATGTTGTGGTAACTTAAGTTCAAAACTTGAACATGAATTACTATAATTTTCTTACTACTCCACTAACTAGTCATATTTTTGTAAACCATCTTTATTTTGATCATATTTATGTAATTATTTCATCAATTAAATTCACTTTTAAACTCTTATCGGCGAATTATCATACGATTCACTATCCCTACCATTTTAAGAAAAACTTTAAACACATATCTTACTGGACAGTGCACAGGTATACCCAATAGTAGTGCACATATGAGAAACTAAACCAAGTATTAAGTTGTTTTCCACATTACAAAGTGTTGATTGTAATTCGAGTTTAAGCCATTGTCCTCATTGTTAAGATCGCTAATGTGCTCATATGATCTAATGTCACTAAAAAGGTATGCATAAAGTGAGCATTCAAGATCCTCAAGGAGTCATTCACACCTTAAGCCGTTACTATGCAAAGTGGAATGAACCCAGACCAGAATCATCAACTATTGTAAGATAACCCGACTTATAACTTATAAGTGTGTGTGACGAGAACATTTAAATTGCCAATTTGAATTGCATGAATATGAGAGTTCTCCTAAGATAATTGTTATCTTCTACTTTAAACGGAACGTTAATCTCGCAGGACAAGGAAACAGCTTCCAAACTGTCAGATAAGAATGAGAAAAACCACTTGTATCGTGAAATCGCAACAACAGCTGAATCTGGATGGGATTTCACCTCACGGTTTATGAGGTAAGATGTGTTTCCTCAGCGATCATTTGGAAACATGGAATTGCTTATAGTATTAAGGTAAGTAGCACCGAAACAGGAAACAAGAAACACCAAAAATGAAATGGGAAATCTAAAACCCGAGTGAAATGCATAGATATTTACAAATATAAGGATATATTTATAAATATTTTTCATTTTATGTATGTGTTTACGTACATCTTTTTACATTTATATATATGCTCATATATTTTTCATATAATTTTATTTGATAACCAATACTCCCTAATAAATATAGCCCACATTGAAATTTATAAATCATTAGATATTACGGAGTAGTACATAACTAAACATATAATGCAATGCATTTCTAGAAATGCATTGGTTATGAAATATCACATTTTTACTAGGAAGAAATCCCAATAAAATTTACTACAAGGTTTAAAAAGAAATTATTTCCATCAAAAAAGGAAAAGGTTGGAAATCCAAACATGAATTTCCCGCTTCTTTTGAACTACAGAAATGAGATCAAAACATGAATTTAAAGTTTTGAAGTTTCCTATGGGCTTCATATTTCCCGAGAAACCTGAATTGTTATAGGAAGTTTCTGTACTTCATAGAATTTTGAAAGGTACATTGGTATGACCAGCCCGATCGATTCCCATTGCAGGAATGGATCTGATCTCACAACACTTGCCACAACGTCAATTCTGCCAGTGGATCTTAACGCATTCATTCTCAAGGTAAATAAGGAAGCTCTGAAATTCTGCCTTTAAACTTCCCTCTCTTTCACCTAATGAGTGTGGTTTGTTGGCCCAGATGGAACTTGATATTGGCTTTCTAGCTGGTGTTCTTGGAAAAAAAGATTTGGTTGAATTTTTTTATAAAGCTTCAAATGCTAGAAAGGATTCAATTAACTCCATTTTCTGGAATGAGGAAGTGGGGCAGTGGTGTGATTACTGGCTCAACAACAACAATATTATATCTGAGGTGAGCTTAAATTCATTTTTGCACCTTTTTTACAAGTCATCCTTTTTTCAACTTTTGTAGCTTGATTTGACGTCCATTTCATGGTCTAGGGTGTTGATAAGTGGGATTCACTTAACCAGAACAAAGGGCCATTTGCTTCAAACTTCATTCCTTTGTGGATTGATTTGTTTAATAAAGGTTTGTTGTCTATCCTCTCGTCTCCGCTATAAATAATAATCTGTAGCAGAGAAGAGTAATGCAAGATCTTATATATTCATTTATTATTTTATAACTTATTTAGTCGATGTAAAATGTACTCTTGAACAAACTCCCGCTCAATTTGAATCAATACACCTATCAAATATTCTTTTAGCAAAGAGATTGAGATGTGGTATCACCCACGTTCATGCCAATAGAATTATTTTCTTTTCTTATCATAATGTATGGCTTCTTGAATGTTGCATGTAGATCATAATACAGTGAAGAAGGTAATCAAGAGCTTTAGAGCATCAGGGCTACTTTGTCCAGCAGGAATTGCAACCACATTGTACAAGACAGGACAACAATGGTTAGTAATGATATTACTATACTTTTTAAAAGCTAAATGATTGTCCACTATCAAATTTATCACATGTTGATACATTTATATATCTATGTAGATGGATGTATCATTGTTTCTCTACACACAACACATGAAAATGAGAATTTGTTTGATAAAGAAAATTAGAGACTGTAATATCCAATGAGCATTTTTCAGAAAACATTAATTAGAACAAAGTTTATTCAAGCTTTATGCATTTTAGATGCAGATTCATTTATTCAAGCTTTATGCTTCATTATGTACCGCACAATTTTAGGTGGGTGACATATACATAAGATAACATCATTAAGAGAAGTCTGGCATATAGTGACATTGTCTAAGTTTCATGAATCACAAATTGGAATATATAATCTCAACGTTCTTTTCAAAAGAAACTTGACAAATGAATGTTAAAAAGATAGGAAACAGTGTTGATCTAATTATAAATGAAGGTCTAATTAGCACTCTCTATGTTTTAGATGAAGGTCTTCTTTTAAAAAGACTGGGAGAAATGTTAAATTATAAATGCATAGTATGATAATGCTCTAGTTTAACCAGTTAAAGTTAATCACCTCGCACCGGTTAAATATGAATTTGCAAAAGACAGAAGTATTGCGTCACTCAGTTAGTTAGGGAAGTCCCTATAAAAAACAACAAATAATGAAATATATTATACGAGTACTAATAAATAATGCAATTTTCATATTTCAAAAAAGAAATACATACTCCATTTGGTCATAACTTATTTCTCAATGACAAGAGTACAAACTTCAAGAAATTTGAAAACTGTGCAGTTCTGATTAATTTAAATACTTCGTATAACAAGAGTGAAATATTATAAGCTATATATTTCTGTTGAAATGAACAATATTTTGGAGTGCAAGGAAAGTGAAAATAAATAGGAAGATGACGAGAGCCATAGAGTACATATTTAGATGATTCCACATTATTCATTGTAATTGAACCATTTATATGCAGTCTAACCTTCTTGTTTGTTTTTAATAGGGACTTCCCTAATGGCTGGGCACCTTTGCAGCATATGATAGTGGAAGGTCTTCTCAAGTCAGGAACGCATGATGGGGAGTCATTAGCTAAGGATATTGCGACGAGATGGTTAAGAACTAACTACGCTGTCTATAATAAAACTGGCGCAATGTATGAGAAGTATGACGTTGAAAAATGTGGTGAATATGGAGGAGGTGGTGAATATGTGTCCCAGGTAAGTAGTAATTACGCTGGGCCGCATTTTTGTTTAATCTCTTAACTTCATCAAATGCTAATTACTTGTTGTTGCATGATATTGGAGGTCATTTCTTTTTTAAATTTAGTAAAATTCTCCCTTATTACATGCAGACGGGTTTTGGATGGTCTAATGGAGTTGTATTGGCATTCTTGGAGGAGTTTGGATGGCCTGCAGACTGTAAAATGGATTGCCAGGAATGAGTTAAGCCACAACTGACATGCATACTTGAGCATTCAAACTATTTCTGTTATCAACTTATATTATACTACATTCAAACTATTTGTTGTTTTTAAATACACACTATTTACATTTTTCAATTTGATTGTCTTATATCGTAGTGCTTAATGTATCAAACCTAATCCAGTTATGATCTACAAGGGAAGGACAAATATATTGTTCCATGAAATTTTTTGTTTCACATGGTCTGAATCCGGTATGTGTGCTTCATTTTAAATATTTCAATAAGGTCGTTATTCTAAAAAAATCCTACTTGAAAAGCCAAATACTATTATTTGGAACTTGATAGATAGTGATACCGGGGTACCACTAGCCGTACATATTATTGTACGGAGTACATATTATTGAAGAGAGAAGAGAGAACTAGAGAGAAAATAAGAATGTGTATTAATTAATCATCCTTACAAGGTTCCAAAAGGGGGCTAATAGATTGTACAAAAGCTAATCCGTGGAGGGGTGTTCTGAAGTGCCGTGGGCTCATGGCCGAGGGCATAATGACCGAGGGCATAATGGCCGAGGGCCTACCGAAGGGTGTTACCGAGGGGTCACCGAGTGGTCCCGCCGAGGACTTGCCGGAGGATGCCACCGAGGGGTCATGCCGAGGGCATGTATGTGGCTTGCATGAGTACTGGACCATATACTCTATCAGAACTGTTCACAAAGAGTGATACTGATGCCTTTAAAATTGAATCAAGTGTACAATAGCAAGCTACATTGGAAGAAGCTAAGAGTATAATCTCATAACAAGCTAATGAGACAAGAATTTAGATAATCTTTGTAGTCATAATGAATTTCGTGATAAGTCACAAGGTTAGTTTTGTACAATCTATTATTTTTCTTTTTCAAGCTTGGACATATATATAGTGTAACATTTATTAGTAGAAGTGATACAAACTTGAAAAAATCTTCCTGGTGAAGTGATAGAGAAACTATGCAAAAGCTTGATTTTCTTCCACAATTCTATAAGGCATTTCCTCATTGGTGGGCCATATTTATTCTCTAAAAGTGCACAAAACAACAAAATGTGATTGTAAATCCTATCCAAAGAGATGTTTAGTGATTTGAGACTTGCAACAAGAATAGTTGCAACTATCTTTGATTAGCGAGTTATATGAAATTTTTGGAAGATGTATTTATAGAAATTAATTGAAGCAATGCGTGGAGAATAGTGGTTGTTGAGCTTGGATCGTGGGAGAGAGATCACCAAATATGGGTGGTGGGAGGATAGAAATGAAAAGGCAAAATAACGGAAAATGAAAAAACATCATATCTATCACCATCCAAACGAGCAAGCAAGCAATAGGCAATCTTATCAGTAAACTTTCCTTATGGATCTTGCTTTCACACAATTGGGTCAAACACCTCTCGTCTATTTAAGAGAATATTAAAAATCAAGCCGATTTTTTTATCTTCAAGAATATAACGGAGGGATTATTCCCCAACTTTGAATTAAGAAATGGTGAGTTTGGAATGTACCTAGCTAAAAACAATAACCAACCAACGAGTGTGGTTTGGAATAAAGCGTTCTTGTTTTCTCCTAACATTCAAGTCACGGATCTTTGATATGCATTATAGACACCACTCCTTCCAATGGATCCTCCAATGGTAACCCCCTTGTCACCAAAAGCCATTAACCAATCTCCAAAAACCCAAAAGAACTCTTGGGACAAAAGGAACATTATACTCGCCTAGGAAGCACCACTTCAATCACACAATCACCCTCTTTAGAATAACATCTCTTCCCACTTTAGAAATGAATTTATTATTCCATCTTTGAACCAGCATATAAATATTGTCCTAAATATAAGAAATAATCATTCACTTTCTGTTTCATTCTAATGGCAACAATAAATCATGGCAACAGAAATGAATAGTACTATTATCAGTTGTCCTCACAAAAAGCATCTCAACAATCCCAACTTTGATGTTCCATATATAACTTAGATTCACACTAAAAGATATAATTGACTACAAGAAATTATTTCCTTCCCCATGCCAAAGAGTACTCCCGTAAAGTATTCTATGTCAATGAATTCTCACCATGGTTTGCCTTGAAAAACAAACTGTTGTCATCACCAAAGTCGACTTCCTAGAAGAAAAGACCCAAATTCTTCTACATCAAAAGCAATCATATTTATTTTGGAGAACGCCTAATAACCAGAGACTTTGAAGAACTTTGAAATAAAATTTTGAATTTTCATTATATGTAAGTTAAAATTTGATTTAACAAGATTTTGAAATAACCTCATCCAAATAATAATTTATTACATTCAACATAAACTTTATGTACACATGGCGTATGTTTTATGTCCATACCTTCACATATATATACTCTACTAGTATACAAATTAGAATAAATAAGTTTGCATGAAAAATCTAGTAGAGATGAATGGTTTCAAAGGCGAGTTACATTGTGAGCAAATTAGAATAAATGTGTATACGGTTTGCTCGTGAACTAATTTTACATATACGAATTGTACGTAAAAGATGTAGGGTGTTTATACATTATTCATCCCTTCTCAGCATATTATCAACTTTTTTTATTGTGCTAATTAAAACATTTGTCATTTACTTTATTTCTTATGTCATGTTGTGATCCAGTTTGATAAAGTTATATTGACATAACGAGTAAAGGGTTCAATTTTTATTCTCTTCTTGGCAACCATTTTTATTCTCTTTCAATAACTCATTTTTTGACTTATCAAACTTAATATTCATATTTTTATTGAACATTTTTTTTTGTTTTTCATGTGTTGATTTTGTTGCGATTGAATTTTTTAAATTTGATCTATCCATATCACCAAAAAAAATTGATCTATCCATACCTTTTCATATAAACTTTATTTTATTAGTAAAGTAGTGGTATATTTTACATTTTTTAACGTTATTATACATTTCTTTTTAAACTACTAAATTTAATCTTTAGAAGTAATTTATCGAACGTAGTAAAAGGGACTAAAAGGAGCCTTGGTTCGGTCCCTTTATTATAGTCAAAGGTTTTGGTCAAAGGTTTTAACGGGATAGTTTGTGACTTTGAAATAACATATTATGATACATAAAATTCGGAGTAAATTCAAATGCAATTCAGAAGATTAGGCCCCGAAGGACAATGATTGTACTCTTTTCCTTTACTAAGTTTTTCCCGCATGATTTTCTTAGTTAAAGGTTTTTAATGAGGCAGTCAATACAACACATCGTTTTACATATATTATGTACTCTTTTCCTTGATTGGTTTTTTCCTACGAGTTTTGCCAACAAGGTTTTTAACTAGGCATACACATAGTACGATAATTCATTCGAGAAGTTAGCAACCAGATTGGATTGAATTGGATTCAACAAGATGACCTGAAGTGATGCAATCAACAGGGGAGCATATACGCGCTGCACTCTTTTTCCCTTGACCAAGGTTTTTTCCCATTGGGTTTTCCTCGGCAGGGTTTTTAATGAGACAATATGACCAAATTGTATAAACAAAGTAATGTATATTTCTCTATGTAACTTTTTTTTTGTAATGTACATTCAGGGGAGTGTTTATTGTTATGTACTCCCTCCGTATCAATTTAATTGACTCATTTGCTTTTCACGCAGTTTAAGATAATTATTGTATACTTTATTAAAAGTAAGAGGTTTTTGGTACTGTAGCGATACTGTAGCGGTACTGTAGCAGTACTGTAGCTGCTTTTTGAGTAGGATTCTTTCCAAAAAGGGAAAGAGGTCAATTAATTTGATACCCAAAAAGGAAAAGTGGGTCAAATAATTTGATATGGAGGGAGTAATTGTGAATGTCCATTAATCATTAGCCTCCGGCTCAGATGTATTGATCCATTTCATTGACTTAACCCTAGCTGCCTCATGTATATATAGCTCCCGTTCGGTCCATTTATTTACCCCCTCCCAGCAAATTGTTGAACTGAAAATCGCCAGCCTCTAGTCAACCACTGAAACCCTAAACCCTTAATCGCTAGCACCACCATCACAGGCAACCATGGCGGAAGTGAAAATATCGGAGATGCGAGACCTAACCAGAATAGAGCGCATTGGCGCTCACTCCCATATAAGGGGCCTCGGCCTTGATTCCGAGCTCGAGCCTCGGGCAGCTTCTGAAGGCATGGTGGGTCAGACCTCTGCCCGTAAAGCCGCCGGTCTCATCGTGAAGATGGTCCGGGAAGGGACAATCGCGGGTCGAGCTGTCCTCCTAGCCGGACATCCAGGAACGGGCAAGACGGCCATTGCTATGGGCATGGCTAAGTCGTTGGGCCAGGAAACCCCTTTCGCCATGCTCGCTGGAAGCGAACTCTTCTCCCTCGAAATGTCAAAGACCGAAGCTTTGATGCAAGCGTTTAGGAAAGCAATTGGAGTTAGAATTAAAGAGGAGGCAGAGGTAATTGAAGGAGAGGTTGTTGAACTTCAAATTGATCGTCCTGCTGTGGCTGGGGCTGCTTCTAAGACTGGGAAACTCACACTTAAGACTACTGACATGGAGACAGTGTATGATTTGGGTGTGAAGATGATTGAGGCTCTGGGGAAGGATAAGATACAGAGTGGGGATGTTATTGCCATTGACAAGGCATCTGGGAAGATTACAAAACTCGGGAGGTCTTTTTCCAGGTCCAGAGACTATGATGCCATGGGTCCACAAACCAAATTCGTGCAGTGCCCGGATGGAGAACTGCAAAAGAGGAAGGAGGTGGTGCATTGTGTTACACTCCATGAGATTGATGTCATTAATAGCAGGTACAATTCCATTCATGACAGATACTTTGAATTAGGCTCCATTTGGTAGCCTTATCTGGCCTGGCACACTCTGATTATGAACCTACCATTCCATGGATCTTACCAATTGTTTTCACTTTCTGAAAAATCAAAGAAATCAACCATTTCGACCAATTAACCTACCAAACAGGATCTTAAGTCTTGAAGTCTTATTTGATTAACCAAATGTATGTTCTTAAGGCCTGTGATTGGAACTTGTAAATGGTGTAGTGAAAGAACAACGCTAATAGAAGTGTCTTTTTTATGCGTGGTGATGTCAGATATCTTGCAGAAAAAACATATGGACATCGTTTTGATTTGAAATTTTAGTTTTGTTCAAACGTATAACTACCATGAATTTAAACAAATACTTCGTATCTAGTACTGATTTATGGAATTTGAACCCCAGTTTATTTTCCATCACAACATTTTCTTTACAAAATTCTCCTTTTTTTTCCTCCCTGTGTGTG